CCTACCAGGCAGAGAGGGTCCCCGTCCTGAGTCAGGGGATGAAATATACTGCAGGCTGAATTTTTTTATTAATATGAATAGTAAGATTGTTGATATGGAATTTCTTTGATGAAAGCGATAGGGAAATCTTTATACGTATCAAGGAAAAAGTGGGAGTGATACGATGAGGCGCTCTGGTAGAGGTTAAAGTTGCGTCCCTAAAAACAGGAATTCCGCCCCTGTGACCACCGCTTCCTGTTCTCCTCTGCGCCAAGTGATCCCCGTCTGACTGGAGCAACGCTGAACTCTTTACCGGATTTCCAGTTCTGGTTGACCTCCCCGTGGACTGTGTGACGCTGAATCTCTTGTAACACACTGTGGTGCACCTCACTCAGACGACCTAACCTAGGGTGTACTTGGCCTCAGGTACATTAGGGTGGTGGTGTCAGCAGAACGAGTTAATCCAAACGCAAAGATTGTCACTCTGATAAGACCACACTCAGGTTATGAGCGCTACAGACGGAGTGATTGTTCTGAGCTGACAGTCACCCCACCAGTCCTTACAGATAAAGCCAATGACCAGTATAGGAATGAAGTGTATAGTGAGCTTTATATCTGCATCAATCGTGCTCTGAACGTCAATTCCGAATGACTGAATCAATCCTGACTGACTGACTGAGTGAATGAATAACTGGCGAAAATAAGTGTTTCTTTATACCAGTCTTCCCTGACGCAGCTTATGGCTATTTTTTGTCAGTTCCCCGCGCCACAAGGAGCTGAACCTGAATGTGAAGACAGATTCTTTTTCCCTCCACATGTTCTCGTGTTGATATACAGTATATTCGGAATCAATCGTATTTTATGAAGGTATTAATGCGAACGGTAAATCCTTAATTGAGTCGAGGGTTTTATGTGGTGATTGGTGTAGCGTCCTGCTCCGGGTTTAGCATGGCATTAATATGGAAGTTGTGGGGAAAGACATAATACTGGTGCAGTGAGCGAGGCGTGTGTGTGGGCGGTGTGTGTGTGGGTGGTGTGTGTGGGCGGGTAACAAGGAGTATTAGTAGTTTTATCAGCTCACTAATGGCAGGAGATCTAGTACCATAATCGTCTTCGTCGTTTTTGTAAACAGTGTTGAATTTATATATATACGACTTGACAGTATTATAATACGTTACAGTAAATCAACGCCTCACGGTAATACATCATGTTACAGTAAATCAACGCCTCACGGTAATACATCATGTTACAGTAAATCAACACTTCACGGTAATACATCATGTTACAGTAAATCAACACCTCACGGTAATACATCATGTTACAGTAAATCAACACCTCACGGTAATACATCATGTTACAGTAAATCAACGCCTCACGGTAATACATCATGTTACAGTAAATCAACGCCTCACGGTAATACATCATGTTACAGTAAATCAACACTTCACGGTAATACATCATGTTACAGTAAATCAACACTTCACGGTAATACATCATGTTACAGTAAATCAACACCTCACGGTAATACATCATGTTACAGTAAATCAACACCTCACGGTAATACATCATGTTACAGTAAATCAACGCCTCACGGTAACACATCATGTTACAGTAAATCAACACCTCACGGTAATACATCATGTTACAGTAAATCAACGCCTCACGGTAATACATTGTTACACTAAATCAACACTTCACGGTAATACATCATGTTACAGTAAATCAACGCCTCACGGTAATATATCATGTTACAGTAAATCAACGCCTCACGGTAATACATCATGTTACAGTAAATCAACGCCTCACGGTAATACATCATGTTACAGTAAATCAACGCCTCACTGTAATACATCATGTTACAGTAAATCAACACCTCACGGTAATACATCATGTTACAGTAAATCAACACTTCACGGTAATACATCATGTTACAGTAAATCAACACCTCACGGTAATACATCATGTTACAGTAAATCAACACTTCACGATAATACATCATGTTACAGTAAATCAACACCTCACGGTAATACATCATGTTACAGTAAATCAACACCTCACGGTAATACATTGTTACACTAAATCAACACTTCACGGTAATACATCATGTTACAGTAAATCAACGCCTCACGGTAATACATCATGTTACAGTAAATCAACGCCTCACTGTAATACATCATGTTACAGTAAATCAACACCTCACGGTAATACATCATGTTACAGTAAATCAACACTTCACGGTAATACATCATGTTACAGTAAATCAACACCTCACGGTAATACATCATGTTACAGTAAATCAACACTTCACGGTAATACATCATGTTACAGTAAATCAACACCTCACGGTAATACATCATGTTACACTAAATCAACACCTCACGGTAATACATTGTTACACTAAATCAACACTTCACGGTAATACATCATGTTACAGTAAATCAACTCCTCACTGTAATACATCATGTTACAGTAAATCAACACCTCACGGTAATACATCATGTTACACTAAATCAACACCTCACGGTGATACATTGTTACACTAAATCAACACTTCACGGTAATACATCATGTTACAGTAAATCAACTCCTCACTGTAATACATCATGTTACAGTAAATCAACTCCTCACTGTAATACATCATGTTACAGTAAATCAACGCCTCACGGTAATACATCATGTTACAGTAAATCAACTCCTCACTGTAATACATCATGTTACAGTAAATCAACGCCTCACGGTAATACATCATGTTACAGTAAATCAACACCTCACTGTAATACATCATGTTACAGTAAATCAACACCTCACGGTAATACATCATGTTACAGTAAATCAACGCCTCACGGTAATACATCATGTTACAGTAAATCGACGCTATACACTCACTAAAAAAGATATCATGATTTTAATAATTACCTGCTGATGACACTTACTCACCTGTGTATAAATATGAACTATACGGGAGTCATAATGTGTTGTATGTCCAACTGTGGCTCTCTCTCTCTCTCTCTCTCTCTCTCTCTCTCTCTCTCTCTCTCTCTCTCTCTCTCTCCCCGGTTTTCGTTACCTCCAAGAAAATTGTTGATACAGGAATAGGTTGGAAGAGATATGACAGAGTTTAAATTTCAAAGTTTATCCATTCTTCACTGTCGTCAAAAAGTACAGGAAATACATATCACAGAGGGGACAGGGACAGGGGAGAAGGAGAATGGAAATGGAAAGGGAACAAGAAGGGGAAAGGGGAGGAAAATAGAGAGGGGGAAGGAGAGAGGTGAGGTGAGGTAACCAGTTCTATTGCCAAGGGGTGTGTGTGTGTGTGTGCTAAATTAAAATTATGTTAAATTCAAACAAGGTTAATCACTCTTTCCTCCCCCTCCTTCCCTCTCTTCACCCTTCATCTCTTCCCCCTTCACTCCTTCCCTCACTCACCCGCACCACAATCCCTACCCCCCTCTTCCTCCCACCCCCCATAACTCATGAAACGCGTCTTCACTCTTGCAAAACTTAAATTTTATATATTTAACTTTTACAAAATTGATTGTCATTTGTTTAAGGAAGCCGTGACGTCACCAGAAAGAAAGACGATACTGCCTTTGCTAATAAATTGAACCTTATTTTATTATTTCAAACTACACTCTTCAGCGATACGGCCTTTATGTCAAGTAAACATAAGTGTGATTTAGGGATAATATTCACCATAGGAATTATTATGGATCTGAACATAGGAGTATCAGTATAGCATTATCTTTAACCTATTCCATTGTTGTTGTTATCACTAAAGGAACGCGGGAAGTGAAGGAATACAGTAAGGGTGTTAGGTACAGTAAATTGTGTTCAACTTCAGACCGTCTGTAATAATGATGTGCACGTATTTCTGTTATATAACCTGGCGCGCACGTAACTTAAATAACAGTACGTGCATTTAATATTATACTTTGGTAAATATCTACTTTTTTTTTCTTAATTGAGTTGTTTCTTAATTGAGTTGTACTGTGTTGTGACGGTGACAAAGAACACACTCTCTCGTACTAAGATTTCTGGGAAGCGGCTGGTGGTGTTAGTGGTGAAGCTGTACTCATAATTCTTTCAGGGACAGTACAAGGGCTCGTCTGTGTGAGTGTATTTCTTAGAATTTGTTTTGTTTGTTTATGAAATTCTTGTTTTTTATAATTGATTCACTATTATTATCTTTATTCGGTTTTTGTTAATAATTTTTGTTGGTTTAATTCTATTTATCGTATTTATTTACATTTTATCTCTGCACCTGCTACAGTATTTTCTTTGTACCGGTTTATCTGTTAAGTTATTTCGTCGTTAATTCCTACATTATCCTGGGTTTTATAGTCACACATTATCATAATATAAATAGCAGGAAACAGTCTATTAGCGGTACTATGTATTATTATATTTATCATCCCCCAACTCAGTGAAATCCGGGGATACATAAATATTCTTTCGTTTGTCCAATTTTTCGTTCGAACCATTACTAAAAACTTTCAAATCATCAAATGTCTTAATAAAAGTTTGTATGGAATTTATCTTAGGAGTAAAAATATGAGATAGTTAATTTCGATATTTCCGTTATGGGGACAAATGTTTTTGTCTTGTTAGTGAGTTGGCGCGATGTTTTGGTAGCAAGAGCATGTCATCCTGTCTGCCACGTTACAACACCATCCTTCCTGCGTCTGCGATAACTCCTCAAGGGACAAACATATTCTCTTAAAACTTGGCAGGAACATTGGTTGGTCCTCCCCAAGAACTCGGGTGAGTTATATGTGACAGTGAACCGATTATTTTCACTAAGGGAATTGGGGTCCAGTATCGGTATATAGAAAGTAAGTTCCTTGTTCCAGTACCGGTATATAGAAAGTAAGTTCCTTGTTCCAGTACCGGTATATAGAAAGTAAGTTCCTTGTTTCAGTACCGGTATATAGAAAGTAAGTTCCTTGTTCCATTACCGGTATATAGAAAGTAAGTTTCTTGTTCCAGTACACTTGTGTATAACTTGTAAATTTCTTTTTCCAGTACACTTGTTGGCTCGGACGATCCAGGGCACCGCCAGTTCAGAAAACGGCAGCTTCGACTATGACCAGTCCTGGATTTGTGCACTGTGAGTACACCTCGTTTCTGTTGACTGTAAACTTGTAAACCTGATCTTTTCCCAGGTAAACTATGACTCTTGACCCGATTCCTATAAAACCCCCGTACATTTTCTTTAAGGTAACTACGAATGTCAACCTGATGTACAGTAAACTATCAACAGGTGACCTCAGGTGAGCTTTATCAAATCAGCTCCCTCATTAGATCAAGTTACAGGTGTATGGGAAGTCATTATCAGTGACTTGTCTTGCCCAGGTGTTATCTCGTTTGCTGTTACCCACACTCGCTGTGATCACTCCGGCCATTATATTATTAGTTAAGACCATCCTCTTTATCCCTGTCGACGAACGAGCGTACACGACCTTCCACCAGACACTGACATCCTCCACTATATTGGTCGTCATAGCAACTTTCCTTCCTTCCTTCCTTCCTTCCTTCCTTCCTTCCTTCCTTCCTCCGCTTCCCTCCCTCCCTCCATGGCGGTAGGTGGGCCGGGTTTACATGTTGACATAGGCTTATCGTGTATTAAGCACGTAATCAAACTTGATAAGATAAACCATTATTGATGTCCCTCCCCGGTGGTGGTGGTGACAAACACGAAAGTGACGGTAATAAATACTTGAGTTACGGTAATAAGACAAAGGTTACGGTAATGCCCGACTGTTTGTACTCTCTCTCTCTCTCTCTCTCTCTCTCTCTCTCTCTCTCTCTCTCTCTCTCTCTCTCTCTCTCTCTCACACACACACACACACACGCCTGGTGCTGTTAATTTCCTGACAGTAAACATTAACATTTTTATCTGTACTAAAGTCAGGTTTACCATCTTATAAAATAGTTTAATTCCTTATTGGGGAGGGGGGGGGTCAATAATTCGGTACTTCCTCGACGCTCTGTACCTTTTGTTTTTATGGTACAGCCGTTCTGAAGGCAGCACGTCAGAAAAACCAACTTCACACACACACACACACACACACCACAGTCAAGTCACGTCCCAGACTTGGCTGGTTTCCGGGAACTGTGAGAATGTGTTACTGAAAACCGGTTCATTTCTCCAAAGAATGAAATGTTTACCTTAAAACTGAAATAATAGACGAATGCGGACAGTCGGATGAATGCGGACGGTCGGTACTACAGATGTTACACTGTTTTCTTACATTACCTAGATCAATTGTGTCAAGGGAGAGAATTTTTTGTGTGTGTGAACATAAAGGCTAAAACGGTAATTAGTTTTAAGCTGGTGTGACTAATCCTTATTTATCGTATGGTTAAAAGTATCCACAGGTATGAACCACGAACACCTGCCAGAAAGAACTTTTTTGTCTCAGCCTAACACAGAAGTCGCTAAATGAACAACCACGACAACAACCACCGAGACTATCTCTCATGTGTCACAGTAAAGGTTGCCACATTCTCTCGTCTCGTGATGTGAGTTTTTGACATCCATTTTTTCCTTACAACGTTGACTACAGTTTTATGTAAAGAAGTAGATTCCTCACAAATTTGAATACTAAAGTAATCTACATATATTACCAGTGATAAAGTACAGTAATTCAACACAGCGAGAAGATTACTGTGTGGCTGGCTACTGAGAGCGTTGTGCTATCCCTTGCCTTGAGAACCTACAGTGTTCATGCCAGTGGTCAGGTGGTGTAAGGTGGCATCAGTGACAGATTTAGACTGTGTATGTATATGGCACAGACGCTGTTATGTTCAGTGTTCTACTATCAGCTTTGTGCTCAGGGGCACTTTAGGTCGACTCCCTCTCCTCTCCCCTTCCCTTCTTCCCTCCCCTCCCCTCCCCTCCTCTCCTCCCCTCTTCACCGTCTCTCTCACCCACCGCCACTACACCAACGCACCACACAACACAACACTTTCCCTCACTCTCTCTACCACCCATGAAGGGAGAAAAAACACCTTGGTTGATATTTACATCCATTTGACATATGGTTCACGCCCTTAACTCCATGCACTAAAAACACTATTGATGTTGGTGCTTTAATCATTGTTTTATATAGGTGATACAGGTACAGTACTTAAGGTGTGGTGAGCAACTCTGTACCTGTGTGTGTTTTGTGTACCTTCGTTCCTGTGTTTGTCGGCTGTTGTGTCTGTGTGATAGGGTTGCGTTGCGGTGTGTACTTGTGTTGTGTCACAGTTATATTGTTTTGTGGTACCGTTGTTACATAGTGTATTGTTTTAACGTTCTCCCCCCTCCATTCTCCCTCCTCCCTTCCTGCCCGCTGTAAACACACTTGCTCCAACTTAACGAGGCTCTTCTTTTCCTTAAGTGAGAATGAAGAACTCCTTAAACTCACCAAGTGTTTTTGCATTTTTTTCCATCACACAAAATGGCCGATACTTTTGTGTGTGGTTTACGTTTGTGATCTTGCCGTACAGCGTGTGGGTATGGGCCCTTGTTCACCGCCAGGTATCAGGTTTACTTGTGATATTTTCCCTCCCGCTGGTTCCTGTGTGAGCGTCCCTGGGTACACTGTGTGAGCGTCCTTGGGTATACCTCCTCCCGCTGGGTCTTGCAATATAACACCGCCCTAACAAAAAATTAACTAGCTTGAGGAAATAGACCAGACACAGGGCAGATAAATGAGACGAGAACAGACTTAAATCAGAAGAGTAGTGGAAGACGGTGACGCACGACAGGAACACAGCGGGAGGAACACGCCGCCTCTGGCACCCACCCAACTCTCCACACACAAGTTGGTTGAATTCAACAATGCCAAGATAGTCGAATAATGTTTCTCGAAGCAAATTGTAGAATTCATCATAAAACTAAAAAAAAAGTTAAGTGTTTAGTCGTCTTTATAGGGCGCCCGAGACAGACTCCGGGAGGCGGTGCTGAAGGAGTGACGTACAGCTCCTGCCTCCCTTTCCGTGCTGGTGTGTCCTACACTTCCTTCATACAGTTGTAGAATTATGTATGTGAGCCTCTTGGTGAAAGATTTTATCTTGTCTGACTTGTGGCGTGCACAAAACTGTACTTTTGCTTGTACGTAATGTTAATCCCAGTATACTGTAGAGACTACCTCCTGTGTCTAGCTATGAAGACAAACGCTCCCTACACACTCGGACGGTGGAATCAGTGAAAAGTTTATACGTGATACTTTGTGTCAACACGCCGGGGCCAGACGTTTGTTCTGCCCCGCCCAACTTCACGGTCCAAGACCTCTTCTTTCTCGGTGATTCTGGTAAAGTGAGAGATACAATATATAAGATTTACTTTTAGGAGTCAGAGTGAGTCAGAGGACCAGGTGAGTTGGTTGTCAGCGTGAGACACCTAACCTAACCTAACCTAACCTAACCTAACCTAACCTAACCTAACCTAACCTAACCTAACAACGTGAGAGACAAAATCATGATCTCGGCTAAATAACACATGTGTTTGTTGGCCACGTTTGAGACCAGAAGATGAAGGTTAAAGGTCATGATATTTGCGAGAGAGTCCATCCAATAAATAATGTAAAGAATATAAATTAAATAAGAAGGGAGATGATGGAAGGGTGCGGCACGAGTCTTGGCCAGTCCAGTGGTTCTCTTGTTGTTTGAGATTATTGATTAGTTAAGACATGTAGTGATTGTCATCGTTCTGTTGATCTCCTCAGTCCTCCATATATTTGTTATTGTCTGATTACTTATATAATGTTATAGAATTTTTACTTGTGGATAGTTTGCCAAATTTATAATATTTTTGGGTGTGTGTTTATTTTAACCCATTTCCATCCCTTCTAAATTATAACCAATGATTTTAATAAAGAATCAAAGTTTATTTTCAAGTATAATGAGTCTTTTAGAAAAATATTTAAGCTTATAAAAATATATTGTAACTTTTGAAAGTATATGAAGCTTTTTTAAACAGGACTAAGCTTTTTATCCATTTTTCGTGCCTGACTGGAGTGTATATGAGGGAGGATAGCAGCAGTAGTTCATATCTGTACATACAAGCTGACGTCTTCATTATAGCCTCATACAAGCAGACGTCTTCATTATAGCCTCATACATGCTGAAGTCTTCATTATAGCCTCATACATGCTGAAGTCTTCATTATAGCCTCATACATGCTGAAGTCTTCATTATAGCCTCATACATGCTGAAGTCTTCATTATAGCCTCATACATGCTGAAGTCTTCATTATAGCCTCATACATGCTGAAGTCTTCATTATAGCCTCATACAAGCTGACATCTTCATTATAGCCTCATACATGCTGAAGTCTTCATTATAGCCTCATACAAGCTGACGTCTTCATTATAATCACATACAAGCAGACGTCTTCATTATAGCCTCATACAAGCAAGTGTCTTCATTATAGCCTCATACAAGCTGACGTCTTCATTATAATCACATACAAGCAAGTGTCTTCATTATAGCCTCATACAAGCTGACATCTTCATTATAGCCTCATACATGCTGAAGTCTTCATTATAGCCTCATACAAGCAAGTGTCTTCATTATAGCCTCATACAAGTTGACGTCTTCATTATAATCACATACAAGCAGACGTCTTCATTATAGCCTCATACAAGCAGACGTCTTCATTATAGCCTCATACAAGCAAGTGTCTTCATTATAGCCTCATACATGCTGAAGTCTTCATTATAGCCTCATACAAGCAGACGTCTTCATTATAGCCTCATACAAGCAGACGTCTTCATTATAGTCTCATACAAGCAAGTGTCTTCATTATAGCCTCATACAAGCTGACGTCTTCATTATAGCCTCATACAAGCAGACGTCTTCATTATAGTCTCATGCAAGCAAGTGTCTTCATTATAGTCTCATACAAGCAAGTGTCTTCATTATAGCCTCATACAAGCAGACGTCTTCATTATAATCACATACAAGCAGACGTCTTCATTATAGCCTCATATGAGCAAACGTCTTTATTATAGCCTCATACAAGCAGACGTCTTCATTATAGCCTCATACAAGCAGACGTCTTCATTATAGCCTCATACAAGCAGACGTCTTCATTATAGCCTCATACAAGCAGACGTCTTCATTATAGCCTCATACAAGCAGACGTCTTTATTATAGCCTCATACAAGCAGACGTGTTCATTATAGTCTCGTACAAACCGGCGTCTTTATTTTAGTCTCATACAAGCAGGCGTCTTCATTATAGCCTCATACAAGCAGACGTCTTCATTATAGTCTCATACAAGCAGAAGTCCTTATTATAGCCTCATACGAGCAGACGTCTTCATTATAGCCTCATACAAGTAGGCGTCTTCATTATAGCCTCATACAAGCAGGCGTCTTTATTATAGCCTCATACGAGCAGACGTGTTCATTATAGTCTCGTACAAACCGGCGTCTTTATTTTAGTCTCATACAAGCAGGCGTCTTCATTATAGCCTCATACAAGCAGGCGTCTTCATTATAGCCTCATACAAGCAGGCGTCTTCATTATAGCCTCATACGAGCAGACGTCTTTATTACAGCCTCATACAAGCAGACGTTTTCATTGCTAATGCCTCATACAAGCAGACGTCTTCATTATAGCCTCCTACGAGCGAACGTCTTCATTATAGCCTCATACAAGCAGGCGTCTTCATTATAGCCTCATACAAGCAGACGTCTTCATTATAGCCTCATACAAGCAGACGTCTTCATTATAGCCTCATACAAGCAGGCGTCATTATTAGTCTCATACAAGCAGGCGTCTTCATTATATCCTCATACGAGCAGACGTCTTTATTATAGCCTCATACAAGCAGACGTCTTCATTATAGTCTCATACAAGCAGACGTGTTCATTATAGTCTCGTACAAACCGGCGTCTTCATTATAGCCTCATACAAACCGGCGTCTTTATTATAGTCTCATACAAGCAGGCGTCTTTATTATAGCCTCATACAAGCAGACGTCTTCTTTATAGTCTCATACAAGTAGACGTCTTCATTATAGTCTCACACAAGCAGACGTCTTCATTATAGCCTCCCACAAGTAGACGTCTTCATTATAGCCTCACACAAGCAGACGTCAGCAGTTTAAGAAGTAAATATTAAACATCCGAGACTAACCGCCAGGAGTCCACTGCCTTTGTGTTGACCCGAAGCCGAAATTTGCAAATTTTCTGGTGAGGTGATCAAAGCCTAGTTGAGTCTGTCTCAGCCTGGCCTCAGTGACCAGATCCTTGCTCCTTACCTCCCCCGTCCCCTTCACCTGTGCTTCATCCCCCTCTCTCTATGCTTCTACCCCCACCACACCGACTGCCTCACTACCTTGCCGCGACTCTGTGCCCCCCGCCCCACCCGCTGTGCCCCGCCCCACCCGCTGTGCCCCGCCCCACCCGCTGTGCCCCGCCCCACCCGCTGTGCCCCGCCCCACCCGCTGTGCCAAATACCTATCCCCAACGTACATTAACATTGCTACGTACACAGAAGCTTAAACCGTACAAACCTTTAACAAGTACGTACACGGGAGATTAAAACGTACACCATTAGTATGACGTTCACAGCTGATGAACCAAAACAAAAACATTCTTAAAATAACCTTAACACAATTTGGAATAAATAAGTTTCTTTCGTCTGTATTAAAAAAAAAAAGCATCCTCCCTCCTCAAATCCCACCCCTCTCTCTCCGATCCCTTCTCCTCTTCCTTCCCTTCCTTCCCTCCTCCTCTTCTCCTTCCCTCCTCCTCTTCCTTCCTCACCTCCTTCCTCCTCCCCCCACTATCCTTCCTCCCTTTCCTTCCCTCCTCCTACCCCCTTTCCCTCCTACCCCCTTTCCTCTTTCCCCACTCGCCTCCCCTCTCTCCTTCCTTCCATTCCCCTTCCCTCTCCCCACTCCCCTTGTGACTAGACGCGGGTAATCGAAACACACACACACTTGCGAATGAAAGCCTCGGAAGCCAATGAAGTGTGCTGTAAATATAAATGAACGATAATTATTTGGAAACGATACCAGGCGGAAGGATCACATAAGAAAGACAATTTAGACCAGTCCGAGGGCCGAGTAAACAGTGACGAGTGAATGAAACTGCCGATAGGACCTGGCGTCGATTTTTGGGGGTGGGGAGTATAGTGGTAAACCTCTCTTCTACTACCCCTCCACCTTGCCCTCTTTCCCCCACCCAATTCACTCTCCTTCTCACCATCCTCCTTCTCCCCCACTCACCCTCCTTCCCCCACCATTCTTCCCCTGAGGACGATCACAACCTTTTTATACAATTGAAATATTCAAATTATCGTCTTCAGGTAATTTTTATTATTATTATTATTATTATTATTATTATTATTATTATTATTATTATTATTATTATTATTATTATTATTATTATTATTATGCTATTTAATTCTAAAAGGGTATATCATACTTCTTTATCAGCAGATCTAAAGTTTATATAATAACTTCATCCACTTAAAAACCCAAATTTTACTGAACAAATTCTACCAGGAAAAGATAAACCCCACCAAATAATAACTTTCTAAAACAAATTAGTGTAAAATGAATTGTTTTTAAACCTATTTTAGAGCAGTTTATATTCCGTGTATCAAAGTGTAATATAAATTCAGGTGTTTATACATTATAGCGGTGTGACATGAGCTTTATGATGTAAGCCTTGTGATGTGTTGAGTTGTAAATATGAAAGAAAATGTAATAACGAAGGAATAATTAAAATGGGGGAAAAGAGTTAGAGACATAAGTGTTGTTGTTTTCTTCTTTAGTTACTCTTTACTTCCTCTTGATACTACTATCTTCTCCCCTTCTACTACTACTGCTGCCTTCACTCTACCCCCCCCCTTCCTCCTTCTCTTCCTACGACTAATACCTTCTCTCTTTTCCTTTCCCTTTCCTTCTTCTTCCCCTTTCCTTCTTCTTCCCCTTTCCTTCTTCTTCCCCTTTCCTTTTTCTTCCTCTTTATTTTCTTCTTTTCTTCTCTTCCTTTCTTTTCCAGCCTTATTTTTCTCCTTCTCGCCCACCGTCAGAATAGTTAGGATGGCGGGGAACCCAGTGTGTTAAAGCTGAACGGATATCTAAACTTTCGTAGCCTAAAAAAAACCGGTTGTTTTGTAGAATTAAGAGAGTCACCGAGGCTGTCTGTTGAGGCGGGGACTGTCTGTTGAGGCGGGGACTGTCTGTTGAGGCGGGGACTGTCTGTTGAGGCGGGGTCTGTTGAGGCAGGGGCAGTCTGTTGGGCAGGGACGCTGTCTGTTGAGGCGAGGCTGTCTGTTGAGGCAGGGACTGTCTGTTGAGGGCAGGGGACTGTCTGTTGAGGCGGGGACTGTCTGTTGAGGCAGGGACTGTCTGTTGAGGCAGGGGACTGTCTGTTGGGGGGACTGTTGTCTGTTGAGGCCAGGGCTGTCTGTTGGGGGCGGGGACTGTCTGTTGAGGCAGGGGACTGTCTGTTGAGGCAGGGTCTGTCAGGGGCAGTCTGTTGAGGCCGGGACTGTCTGTTGAGCAGGGGACTGTCTGTCTCTGTCTGTTGGTGGGGGCAGTCTGTTGAGGCGGGGACTGTCTGTGTCTGTTGAGGCAGGGGCTGTCTGTTGAGGCACTGTCTGTTGAGGCTGGGACTGTCTGTTGAGGCAGGGGACTGTCTGTTTGTCTGTTGAGGCCAGTCTGTTGAGGGCTGTCTGTTGAGGGGCTGTCTGTTGAGGCAGGCAGTCTCAGGAAGCTCTGTTGAGGCAGGCGCAGTCTGTTGAAGTCTGTGAGGGCAGTCTGTTGAGGCGGGGGCAGTCTGTTGAGGCCTGTCTGTTGGGGGCGGGGACTGTCTGTTGAGGCTGTTGAGGCAGGGACTGTCTGTTGAGGCAGGGACTGTCTGTTGAGAGGCTGTCTGTTGAGGCGGGGACTGTCTGTTGAGGCAGGGGACTGTCTGTTGAGGCGGGGACTGTCTGTTGAGGCAGGGACTGTCTGTTGAGTCTGTCTGTTGGGCAGGGGACTGTCTGTTGAGCAGGGGCAGTCTGTTGAGGCCAGGGGCAGTCTGTTGAGGCAGGGCAGTCTCTGTTAGAGGCAGGGCAGTCTGTTGAGGCAGGGGACTGTCTGTTGAGGCTGGGGCAGTCTGTTGAGGCTGGGGCAGTCTGTTGAGGCAGGGACTGTCTGTTGAGGCAGGGGCAGTCTGTTGGGGCGGGGACTGTCTGTTGAGGCGGGGGCAGTCTGTTGAGGCTGGGGCAGTCTGTTGAGGCGGGGACTGTCTGCTAAGGCTGGGGCAGTCTGTTGAGGCCAGGGACTGTCTGTTGAGGCTGGGGCAGTCTGTTGAGGCTGGGGCAGTCTGTTGAGGCAGGGGCAGTCTGTTGAGGCAGGGACTGTCTGTTGAGGCTGGGGCAGTCTGTTGAGGCTGGGGCAGTCTGTTGAGGCTGAGACTGTCTGTTGAGGCTGGGGCAGTCTGTTGAGGGCAGGGACTGTCTGTTGAGGCGGGACAGTCTGTTGAGGCAGGGGACTGTCTGTTGAGACAGGGGACTGTCTGTTGGGGGCAGGGGACTGTCTGTTGAGGCAGGGGCAGTCTGTTGAGGTGGGGGCTGTCTGTTGAGGGCAGGGACTGTCTCTGTTGAGGCAGGGGACGTCTGTTGAGGCGGGGCTGTCTGTTGAGGCAGGGACTGTGTCTGTTGAGACGGGGACTGTCTGTTGAGGCCAGGGACTGTCTGTTGAGGGGGACTGTCTGTTGAGGCAGGGGGCTGTCTGTTGAGGCAGTCTGTTGAGGCTGGGGCAGTCTGTTGAGGCAGGGCAGCAGTCTGTTGAGGCGGGGGCAGTCTGTTGAGGCAGGGGGCAGTCTGTTGAGGCAGGGGCAGTCTGTTGAGGGAGGGGCAGTCTGTTGAGGCAGGAGGAGGCAGTCTGTTGAGGCAGGGGGCAGTCTGTTGAGGCAGGGGCAGGTTGAGGCTGGGCAGTCTGTTGAGGCAGGGACTGTCTGTTGAGGTTGGGGCGGTCTGTTGAGGCGGGGCGGTCTGTTGAGGCTGGGGCAGTCTGTGAGGCGAGGGGCAGTCTGTTGAGGCCAGGGCAGTCTGTTGAGGCAGGCAGTCTGTTGAGGCTGAGGCAGTCTGTTGAGGCGTCAAATTAACATAGACAAACGTTAGCTAACCTTAAGCTTGCAAAAATTTACTTCTTCTTACCTAACCTAACCTACACCATATATATATATATATATATATATATATATATATATATATATATATATATATATATATATATATATATATATATATATATATATATATATATATATATATATATATATATATATATATATATTATATATATATATATATATATATATATGCTGATAACCACAAGGAAAGAAGAAAACACAAAGTTCCCAAGCGCTTTCGTGTAATTCACATCTTCAGGGGTGAGTACAGACTAAAGAGAAATACAAAACAAGGTGTATATATACAGAGGAGGGTGAGACCAGGTCCACAATGGTCAGGTATTAGGTAATGACCCTACTATATATATATAACTAAATCAATTAACTCCTCCAAAAACAAGGTTGTGTATCCCGGAGTTTATTGTGAGGTATTAAGTGAGAGTAGCGCTAAAATATCCCATAATATAGTCCCATAACCCGAGTTGTATCATCATCAAGTGTACCGATTTGCATATTTCAAACGTGGAAACAAACTCAGATGTACACAAGTTTGCCCCCAAAAAAATTTACAATCAACTAGTAAAACAGCGAGCCATGGAGGGGGGGGTTAATTAATGTATGTTAAGATATTGTAACCTGCCATAAGCAAATAATGTACAATAAAACCACAACACAGCCTCAGCTATCAACCATCTTTCTCTCTTATTCGCTCACGTCCTCCTAAAATGACATCTCTTGTTCATTCTTATCCCGGGTGAGACATCCTTCCTCTCCTCCATAATGGTTTCTCGTTGGCATTTCTTACCATGTCGTGTCGGCTTCTCCTCCTCCTCGTGCCATGAAGTGCTCCATACTGCTGCTGCCTTTTGTGTTGCTGTGTGGAGGTCCTCACCGTGTTATCCTGCCTGCCACACTGTGTAGAGATCCCTGTCACAGTGTTCTCGTTTGATGCCTTTGTGTTGAAAATGCAATACTCGTTTGTGGCCACTGTGGTGAAGCTGAACTACTGCCCCACTGTGGTGAAGGTGTAATACTGCCACACTACCACTGTGGTGAAGCTATAATACTGCCTCACTACCACTGTGGTGAAGCTGTAATACTGCCCAACTGTGGTGAAGCTGTAATGCTGCCCCACTGTGGTGAAGCTGTAATGCTGCCCCACTATGGTGAAGCTGTAATGCTGCCCCACTGTGGTGAAGCTGTAATGCTGCCCCACTGTGATGAAGCTGTAATGCTGCCCCACTGTGGTGAAGCTGTAAATACTACCCCACAATGGTGAAGCTGTAATACTGCCCCATTGTGGCTATGCCCTACTGTGGTGAAGCTGTAATACTGCCCCACTACCACTGTGGTGAAGCTGTAATACTGCCCCACTACCACAGTGATGTAACTATAATATTGCCCCACTACCACTGTGGTGAAGCTGTAATACTGCCCCACTGCCACTGTGGTGAAGCTGTATACTGCCCCACTACCACTGTGGTGGCTGAATGCTACCACACAACTGCACTACCACTGTGGTGAAGCTGTAATACTGCCCCACTACCACAGTGATGTAACTATAATACTGAGCTACTGCCCACTGTGGTGAAGCTGTGCCCCACTACCACTGTGGTGAAGCTGCTGCTGTACTGTGGTGAAGCTGTAATACAGCCCCACTACCACTGTGGTGAAGCTGTAATACTGCTCACTACCACAGTGATGTAACTATAATACTGCCCCACCCCACTGTGGTGAAGCTGTACTGCCCACTACCACTGTGGTGGCTGTAATACTGCCCTACTGTGGTGGCTAATGCTGCCCTACTGTGGTGAAGCTGTATACTGCCCCACTGTGGTGAAGCTGTACTGCCCCACTGTGGTGAAGCTGTAATACTGCCCCACTACCACTGTGATGTGGCTGTAATACTGCCCACTACCACTGTGGTGAAGTAATACTGTCCCACTATGAAGCTGCATACTGCCCTACTGTGGTGAAGTTGTAATACTGCCCCACTACCACTGTGGTGAAGCTGTAATACTGCCCCACTGTGATGTAGCTGTAATGCTGCCCCACTACCACTGTGGTGAGCTGCTGCTGTGGTGGTAATACTGCCCCACTACCACTGTGGTGAAGCTGTAATACTGCCCCACTACCACTGTGGTGGCTGTCTGCACTGTGGGTGAAGCTGTAATACTGCCCCTTACTACCACAATGATGTAACTATATACTACTACACTGTGGTGAAGCTGTAATATGCCCCCACTACCACTGTGTGGCTGTATACCTACTGTGGTGAAGCTGAACCCTACCACAGTGATGTAACTATAATACTGCTGCCCTGCCCCACTACCACTGTGGTGAAGCTGTAATACTGCCCTACTGTGGTGAAGCTGTATTACTTGCCACTGATGCATAACACACACTGTGGTGAAGCACAATACTGCCCCACTACCACTGTGGTGGCTGTATTGCCCTACTGTGGTGAAGCTGTTGCTGTGATGTAATACTGCCACCACTACCACTGTGGTGCCAAGGCTGCAATACTGCCCCCTGTGGAACTGTAACCACTGGTGAAGCTGTGCCCCCACTGTGGTGAAGCATAATACTGCCCCCACTACCAAGCCACTGCCCCTGCCACTACCACTGTGGTGAAGCTGTAATACTACTGTGGTGAAGCTGCCCCACTGCCCACTACCACTGTGGTGAAGCTGTATTGCCACTACCACTGTGGCTATGAACTGCCCCACTACCACTGTGGTGGCCATACTGCCACTGTAGGTGAAGCCATACTGCCCCACTGCCACTGTGGTGAAGCTGCAATACTGCACTACCACTGTGATGAAGCTGTAATACTGCCCCACACCACGTGGTGAACTGTGTGGTGCACTGTGGTGAAGCTACTACCCACTACCACTGTGGTGAAGCTGTAATACTGCCCCACTACCACTGTGGTGAAGCTGTACATGCTGCCCCACTACCACTGTGGTGTGTAATACTGCCCACTGCCCCACCTGTGAAGCTGTAATACTGCCCCACTACCACTGTGGTGCTGTAATACTGCCCCACTACCACTGTGATGAAGCTGTACTGCCCCACTACACTGTGGTGAAGCTGTACTGCCCCACTACCACTGTGAAGCTGTAATACTGCCCACTACCACTGTGGTGAAGCTGTAATACTGCCCCCCCACTGTGGTGAAGCTCCACTGTGGTGCTGCTGTAATACTGCTGTGATGAAGCTGTGCTGTGAAGCTGTAATACTGCCCCACCACTGTGGTGAAGCTGTAATACTGCCCCACTTCCACTGTGGTGAAGCTGTAATACTGCCCCACTACCACTGTGGTGAAGCTGTAATACTGCCCCACTACCACTGTGGTGAAGCTGTAATACTGCCCCACTTCCACTGTGGTGAAGCTGTAATACTGCCCCACTACCACTGTGGTGAAGCTGTAATACTGCCCCACTACCACTGTGGTGATGATGAAAGTTGTTATTGGAGACCTTACGACCCCCTAAGGAAAGCGAGGACAGTTTGGTGATACTAAGCTTAAGGTACACGGGGAGGCACTGCACTCGATCACCTTTACTTCCTCAACTAAAATCAAGTACCCATTCACAGCTGGGTCAACTGGGCTGCCCCAAACACGAACTAGTGACCTCTAGGAAAGAAAGTGGGGTCTGTATCCACTCGGTCACCATTTCCCATAAAACTCGTTTACTGCCGCTCTTATCCCTCCCCACTGCCACTGTGGTATGGATTAAAGGCTCATTCAGTGCTCGCCTCTTGTTCCGGGGGTCGGTGGTTCGATTCCCGGGCATTCCCAGTTCACCCAGCTGTAAATGGATATTTTTTTGTTTACAACTTAGGGAAGTGACAGCGGTCGGGTGCAGTACCGGCCATGCTGCCTCCTTGTGTACTGAAGGCTTAGTATACAGTGTGCTGTATCCACACTGTCTCTAACGGGCAGTCAAACCTATGGACCCACTATCACTTCCATTCCCACTGTGGTCAAGCTATATTACTATCTTCATGCCACTGTTGGTGAAACTCTGAGGGTCATTTGCTGTGGTAGTGGTGACAGGAACGGTATTGTCGGATGCAATAATTTTCGGTGGTTGTGGCGGCCTAGCGGGATGCTCCACCATAATGCTCCTTTACGACCCCAGTGGTGAAGAACCCTGGGGTCTTAACCAGCCATAATGGTGCCTCACCCTAATTGTGGTTGCGTTATGGTGCTGGTGTCTTTTCGTGTGAAGTAATTGTATTGAAAGATCAGTTATAGTGTAATTGTGGCCGTGTTATTGTTGTTTTTGTAATGTTTATAATGTAATAGTAGTCAGGGGCGGATCCAGGTACCAATATTGGAAGGGGGGTCAAACGCACAGGACGCAGTGCAATGGAGAAAGACAAGATATAAAATGTGCCTTACTTGACCCTGTTTCCAGTCCGTAGTGTCTTGGTCTCCTCCCCCAAGGCTGTTACCATTCTCTACTTCCCAGGACCACACACACACACACCCCGGTTATAACCAGTCAGGCATATATAATCCCCATAGTATATATTTGGCTGTGACTTGACCCTGAGACTACTTAATTGTGAGATGACCCTGGGATTATTTAGCTGGGACTCGAACTTGCGTTTACTTGAGTTTATCGGTTGTTAAGATTGTTGACGTAGGCAGTAACCCCTTTACCGTTGTTCATTTCCTACCCTCGCCTCGGCCAGTACCAGCGTGACGACTTGTTAAGTTGTCCGAGATGCTCTTGGGAATTCCCTCCAGTTGATAGAGAAAACAGTCATTACACGTGAATGAGGAACAGTACTGTAGAGGCTTGGGAGAGTGTCTCACTAGGCCATGTTTTTATGTGACGTGAGTTATTTCCGCTGTGATGTTTATGTGAGAGAGACTGTAATAAATCCGTTGTATGCGAGTTAATGTCATTGGGGAGTCTTATAAAGGATGTATGTATTGTTAGTAGGACACTCACCTCTACGTACCTCTCTCTCTCTCTCTCTCTCTCTCTCCTAGTGACCTCGTTCCCTGACACCGGTTGTCCCTCCTGATGCTTGGCTACCGGCCATTTCTGTATACTGATAAATCTAATTTCATATGTCCAAGTCGTCCCACTTCCTTTAACGTGGTCGGGGGAATAGAACTTTACTTACTCGGTTTGTCTCCTCCCCCTCCAACATCCTCAGTGTGTGAGTGTGTTTTTTCTCCATTATTCTTATTATATTCAGTATCATCACTTAACTATACCTTTCCTGGTGATCCATGAATTTATGTTAACACTATGTTGACCTTTGACCTGTGTTCCAGGGGTAACCTGCCCTCGCTGCAGCGTCGTCACGTGGCCATCGCTCGACTCAAACACCCGGCCAACATGGGCAGAACCAGCAAGCAGGTCAAGCTCTTCATCCTTGTCCTGTGCCCTAGCAAGGAGGTGAGTACTCTGTTCCTATGCCCCAGCAAGGTTAGTACCCTCTATGGTGGCGCCTTCCCTGTTAACTAGTAATATGGCCCACTTGTAACTATGCTGACTCTCCTGAATAACGTTATTATATACGTAAGCTTTTCTAAGACAGTTTATATTAGTGTTGACTCACCTAAAGCAGAGTTAAGTTATAAGCTGACTCACCTGACGCAAAGTTATACCCGAAATGTTTTAACTTGTGCAGACTCGACTTGTAAAATATTCCCGCTGAAACGGACTATGGTGTGTAAACGTAGCCAGCGTCACGTGTTGATTAGGTTAGGTCAGTGGTTCTCAACCTTGTTTGCCCCATGCACCCCTTGCACCATATGTCAGAATGTCATTCCCCCCTCCTTTCCAAGATTGTCTGCCTCAAAAAGTGCATTCCAAATAATATGCATATAATACTGAAAATCCTTTATTTTTTCCATATTAGTACATATACATTTACAATTTTACATGGATTATTTTTATAGTGGAGTTTTACAAATTAAATGCCAATTGAAAATGTTGATGGATTTATAAAACTTGAATAAAAGAAAATAGTGTTTTATATTTATAATGAATTACTTAACAGACCAAACTGAAGCATAATGCAAAAAACAAAAAGTTCAATAGAATACCAGGATATTGTAAATTTGTAATTAATTTTATTCAGATGAAGATTACAGTCAATGAGAAACCTGTGATTGTTTTTTCTTCGCCAATTCTGGGATACGCGGAGGAGTGCTTGAAAGGGCACAACGCAGGTCATTTTCTACCTCTAATCTACTACGTTGCTTCGTTTTAATTTGCAACTGAGTTGAAAAGCCTGACTCACAAAGATATGTCGACACAAACGGAAGCAAGACACGGATAGCTCTTTCTGCCACTTTTGGGTAGGAATCGCACATCAAGGGCCAAAATTCTGTGATTGATTTCTCATCGAACATATCTCTTGCTCCCGAATCAGCTTCCCCCCCCATGAAAACCTGAATTCCCCCCCTGGGGGGAATTCCCCCCTGGTTGAGAACCCCTGGGTTAGGTGTTCCGAGACCCCATAAAAGTACAGTACAATCACCCACAAAATCCCTGTCACCTCTCCTGTTGTCCCATGAATCCCCAGAATCAGATTCATGAATCCAAAGCATTTATGGACAGAATAATGTATCAGTCTACTGCTTCGGGTTCACCAGTCTGAATCTTGGGATTTGTGAGCCAGGAGGAGAGGTGACAGGACTTTTGTGGGTGATTGTACATTACTGTAGGATAGGTTAGGTTAGTTTAGCTAAGGTTAGGTGTCCCGAGACCCCATGAAAATACTTTAGGTTAGGTGTACTGGAAGCCATGAAAGCTGCAGTGTTTTGTCCACAGTAGTATCCATAGTAGAGGTGATCTAGTGTGGCCGGTCGTGGCACCAGCCTGGCACTGGAGACAGATGCAGAACGGTGTGAGAGCTGCCACTAGAAAAATTTTTAAGAGCCTCATAAAATGCAGCGTAGGACTCGTTAAATTCCGGCTAGCAACTCTGCGTCCCCCCACCCCCCCCACCGGTGCAGCAGTGTTACCAAGTCAGAGGAAAGGGATATACGGCATATGAGATGGATACTGACGTAACCGGTATTAATGTATCTCGTTTCTCACTCGTAACGATTAACATACAAGAGGTAGAGATGTATTTACAAATTCCTGCATTTATACGAGACCGTGTGCGAGCTACTGTATTTCTCGTCGTCCAAGTTGACAGTGTTGTTGTTTGGTGTTGAGTCGAGGAGCAGGGTGTGAGGGCGGCGCTTGTGGTCCTGTCTTAGTTATACTAGAGAAGAAGCTTGTGTTGTTGGTTGGTGAGGTGGGGGGAGGGTAGTGGCTAGTAGTACAGGTGAGGGGAGGGTAGTGGCTAGTAGTACAGGTGAGGGGAGGGTAGTGGCTAGTAAGGTAGTGGCTAGTAGTACAGGTGGGGAAGTGGCTAGTAGTGGTGAGGGGAGGTAGTGGCTAGTAGTACAGGTGGGGGTAGTGGCTAGTAGTGGTGGGGAGGGTAGTGGCTAGTAGTACAGGTGAGGGGAGGGTAGTGGCTAGTAGTACAGGTGAGGGGAGGGTAGTGGCTAGTAGTATTTGTAGTGAGGGATGGTGGGGGGGGGGGCGTGAGTACGGTTTCATCCCTCATCTCTGTACGGAATTAACGTTACATTTGGTATTTGTGTACAGTACAGGATTGTTTCATGTGTAGTGTGTGTGTGGGGAGCAGGGAGAGACTCAGGCAGGAACGAGACACGATAGGGTTGAGTGTGTTGGGCTGTTGGCTGGGAGAAGGAGTTCATTTGATTTGCAAGAGAAAGCCGGTAAAAGACTTGATAATATCCAGACTTTGGGTTTATTTACATACCGCGAATTCAATCATCCCGTTAGCCTTTGTTTACGACTCTGTGTGTTATATATACCACAGTAAACTAGACGAACTCGCTATGAACTTAGAGTATTAAGTTTTCCAGGGAGGCTCTTTCTGGGACCACTGCCGCTGGGAGTAGTTTCAGCAAACGGGTACTGCATCAGGTGTTTACCACGTTATTTATCTATCTATCCTCCCAAATACGTTTTGATAATGTAATTTAAATAGTAAAGTTATGTATATTAGTTTGTGTGTCAATATTGGCGTCAGTTTACTAAGGGTTCATCACCTGTTTCGAGAGACAGCCACCACTACCATCATCACCACCACTACCTACACCACCATCGCCATCATCACCCACACTATCACCAACACTATCACCACCTACACCAACACCAATGATCACCACCCACACCACCACCACCCACACCACCATCAACACCCACACCACCATCAACACCCACACTATCATCACCCACACCAGTTTTTTTTCACACCAGTACCCACACCATCCACACCACCAGTACCCACACCACCCACACCACCCCACAGTATCCACCACCCACACCACCAGTACCCACTCACCCACACCACCAGTACCCACCACCCCACACCACAGTACCCACACCACCCACACCACCAGTACCCACACCACCCACACCACCAGTACCCACACCATCCACACCACCAGTACCCACACCACCCACACCACCAGTATCCACACCACCCACACCACCAGTATCCACACCAACCCACACCACCAGTACCCACACCACCCACACCAGCACCATCACTTTCGTTCTGAGACTCAAAAATAACAACGTAGTTTTACCCGGAGCTGAACAATACAATAGCTAAAGTGACAATTAGAGAGAAAGTATAACTCTGGCCAACAATTCCTAGATTCATTAAGTACAGAAGGTAGGAGATTTTTACCCTCTCGTGACTAACATTTTTAAACAGATTTTGTCCTGAAGAAATAAAAAAAAACCCAGATTTTTCTCCAATAATTCCTAAATGGATTATAGCTACTGCACTAATTATTTACTTAATGACTTACAATATGCTGGTCAAATACCTTTATAGGTTGAGTTGTTATTGTTGGGGAAAAATAAAAACTCTCGGGGGATCTCTTAAGAGGCATTTAGAGGCAATTATTGTGTTTGGGCTCAGCGAGGTCACTTTACACCCCAGGCAGGAAGACTTAAATATTCAGTGGGACCTGGACCTGGGGAGCTTGTGTGACTGTAACCCTGTATTTTATAAGTCATTAGGCGGATTATCTTATGTCTATATATTTAGACAGTGCGGGTATACAAACAATATACATAAATAGTGCAGGAGGAGGAGGAGAGGGAGGAGGAGAGGGAAAAGGAGGAGGAGAGGAGAGGAAGAATGGAGAGGAGGAGCCGTCCCGACCACACACGCAGGATTAATAAGGATTTGTCAACCAGATGTTTTAATATAGTTTTGTTTACTTTCCCAGATTATTAATGATCTTGTTCCTTCCCTTGATTGTAAAATGGAATAATAAATGAACGTTTTGTGCTGTTTATGGTAGATGTTGTAGATAGGGTTAGGAAAGGCTGGCGGGAGGGGAAGAGAGAACTTTTGTAACAAGACAATATTTTAGTCTATATAATGGAGATGTTCAAGAGATAGCAGAGATAACACCCGACAGAGATAAGTGTGGAACCCGGAAGTAAGAGAGATGTAGAGAATTTATCCGAAAGAAACTGTGAGATAAGATGCCCGGATGAGACAATGAGAACGCCTGAGAATCACGGACTGATCTTTGAATTGAGACACAGAACAATAGAAGATAGAAATACCCCCCCACCCCCCCCCCACCCCCCCCGGAGAAAAGGCGAAATCGGCCGGGCCAAAGGGGGGGGGGGGGGGTAAGAGAAGGCACGCTCGTCCTGACAAGATAGGGAGACGGAAAGGCGAGATACGAGCTGATCTCCGTCTAGCTTTACTAAATTGTTGACGTTCGTGACGGTTCTCGACCCCAAATCCGGATTCAGTAGGATTCTATACATATTGGAGATTAAATTTGTGTTTCAAGTTAGTAAAAGGAAATATTGTTTTATATTAGATATGACTCCATTAAGAGGACGTTATTCTCTTATCCCCTCTCCCTTTCTACTCTCCTCTCCTACCTTTTCTCCTCCCCCTCCTCCCCTCCTTTCCATCTTCCCCCTCCTTCCTCTGTTCCCCGCCTCTCCTCCCCGCCATCCTCCCCGTTCCCCCTCCCTTCCTCCCCCGTTTCTCTCTTCCCCTCCTTCCTCTGCTCCCCTTCCTCTGCTCCCCCCTTCCTCTGCTCCCCTTCCTCTCTCCCCTTCCTCTGCTCCTTCTTCTGCTCCCCTTCCTCTGCTCCCCTTCCTCTGCTCCTTCTTCTGCCCCCCTTCATCTGCTCCCCTTCATCTGCTCCCCCCCTTCTTCTCCCTCCTTCCCTCCATAGGTCCAATATGGCCTCTAATTTAAGAGATCATTTATGACGTTCTCAAGAAGGTGGAGTCTACGAGGCTTGACGAGCCTTTCCCTCCACCCTTCGTCTCCGGTCATTAATTTATCCTTCTCTCCCTCAGTCTCCTCCTCCTCT